CCCCCCTCTCTCTCTCTCTCTTTCTCTCTCTCTCTCTCTCTCCCACGCGTAATGTCTCTCCCGTGTCTCCTCTATTGAATCCTCTCCCTCCTCTCTCTCTCCATGTCCTCTCTTACCTCCTATTCCTCCACTTCTCTCGTTCCCCTTTCCACCAACTCTCCTCCGCCTCCAACTCTTGCTTTCCTCCTCTCTCCTCCTCCTCTCCACTCCTGTCGTCTCCTCTCTCCGTCTCGCTCTCCACTTCGCCTTTCCTCCCTTCTCTTTCCTCTGACTCGCTCCTCTCTCTCTCCCGGTCATTGTCTCCGCTTCCTCTTCTTCCCTCTCTCCCTTTCTCCTGTCTCCGCTTCTCTCATCTCTCCTTTACTCGTCTTTCCATTCCTGTCGCCTCCTCTCTCTTTCTCACTCTCCGCTGCGCCTTTCCTCCTTTCCTCCTTCGCCTTTTCTTTCTCCTATTCTCTCGCTCTCCTCTCTTCTTCTCCTTCCTCTCCTCTTCCTCTCCTGCTTCTTATCCTTCTCTCTCTCTCTCTTTCTTTTCTTCCGCTCTCTCCGCTCCTCCGTCTCCTCCTTGTCTGTTCCCCCTGCTTCTTCCGCTTCTCACCTCTCGTTCTCACAACTCTCTCCACTCCCGCCTCTCTCACCTCTCCTTCGCTCGTCTCCTCTCCTCCTCTCTCCCTACTATCGTCTCTTCCCTCACCTTTCCTTCTCCTTTTCACCTCTGCCTCCGTTTTCACCTCTGCCTTTTCTTCCGCTATCACTTTCACGTGCCTTGTCACCTGCACTGCCTGTCACCTCTCCTACTCCTTCTGCACTCCTGAACACATTCTCCTTCCACCTCCTCTTCCTCCTGGTCGACTTCTCGATTACTCGAATCTCGTCGTCCAGCCCCAATCTCCTCTTTGCACATTCCTTTCGCCTGTCATCTTTCGTTCTCTCCTCTCGTTTCACTTTCTCTTGCCTTCCGTCGCCCTGCTTCCATTTCCTCTCTCCTCCCTTTCGATCTCTCGATTTCACCAGCCAATCGCCTTCTCTCCCGTCCATCGATCTCTCGCACTCGGCCTCATCACTCCCCACCACCACTTCCATCGATCTCTCGAACCTCCCGTCTAATCCTCTTCCTTCTCCGTATCGATTCTCGATCACCTCCGTTCTCCCTCACCACTTCCGTCCTCCTCGTTCCTGACTGCCGACTCATGCCAACTCTTCTCACTTTCCACTTCAGTTACTCTCCTATCCTTCCACTTTTTCTTCTCTCCTCCATTTCCACTGTCACTTCTCCGTCTCCTCTTTCCATCACCTCCTCTATCTCCCGCTCACTCCTCTCCAGCCTTTCCTTTCACTACCTTTTTCACACCGCCTTCTCACTGTACTTCTTTCCTCCTCGCTATCTTTACCCCCTCCTCTCTGGCTTATTATTATATTATATCACATTATATCACAGATATAGTTGGCAATCCTAGGTGAGTCTGGATTACACGTAAGCAGTTCTGCTGTGTCAAACCGCTTTTCTTTTCTGCCTTTATTCGCCCTCCTTGGGGCGCTTTCCTTTGCAGGTCTTGGCCTAGCTAAATTGTGGCCCTACTCGAGTAAAGAGAGGGTCTGTTTGTAATCTATCTGCCTTGTATCAAGGTTTGGATGTGACATAACCTTAATAGAAAATCATCGTGACAACTCTTTGCATGCGGGCCGAGAGGCCTGCGCAGGCGTGCAGGGGACTGAGGTAGGGATCAGCGAGCATGTCTACCAACAGTGGGCCTGAGGCGCAGGATTCAAACCAAATCAGCCACGAGGAATGTAATTATACAAACCATACAGCTTCGAACAATGAAATAGCTATGCAGTCGCAAATGCAGTTACCACCTCAGCAATTGGGACAAGGACAAACCTGGCAAAAAGCAGTAAACAAGAAAAGAATGAGAAGTAGCCCTGAAAACACCAATTCTAGAAAACGTCAAACATCTATAAATGATTATTGGTTAAATAGCCCAGTCGAAACGAACAACATGTTCGAGAAATTAAGCAATGACGAATCTACAGTTTCTGGAAAACAAATGGATAATAACATGGGGCAAAATACGATAAAAGCTCCTCCTATCTTCATAGAAGGTGTTGAAAATATTATCCCGTTAAAACTTCTACTCGATGAGATAGCAAAAAATCAACATACAATAAAAATACTAAGGAATAACCAAGTCAAAATACAACCACTTGCTACAGAAAAATATATACCCATAATGGAGGCTTTGAAAAAAAAAGTACACAAGGCTTCACGTACCAATGTAAAACTGATAAAAAATTTAAAGTTGTACTAAGATTTATGCACCCAACAATAAACCTTTTTTTTTGACCCGGTGGAAATCCTCATGGACCGTCACCCGCCCCCTCTGGAGAAGGGGACGGGTGGTGTGTGGGACTCGTCTCCCTGGCACTTGGGCAATTGACAACCCAAGGCCAGTGTGCAATGGAGACGCCTACCGCACTAAAACCACCGGGGGTGGACTTCTATGCGCCATGTTGAACCGGCCGGGGACTGCGACGCATTTACTTCCTGGCCGGTTCGGCGCCACGCGCCTGTATCTGGCACGCCCCTCTATGTCCAGTTTCTTGGACTGCGCCCTGTTATCTTGGGCGTTCTTCTTGCGCATTTGCGTGCGCAGCGGCGGGGGTGCCACCAGGTCCCTCGCCGCTCCCCCTAGTTGCTGGTGGGGGAAGGGCGGGCCGTGGGTCTCCAGCCCGCGCCCGCCCGCCAGGGATCCTTACGGACTTCCTGGCAAAAGCTCCTTTTAGTCGCCTCTTACGACAGGCAGGAGATACCCCAGGCCTATTCTTACGGCGGGACCTGGACGCTAAATTATCCCCCTTTTCTCCTCATCACAATGTGACTGGGAGTAGAGAGGGATATTCCTCTCTTCCCCTTACTCCTATGGGGAGATCTCCATTGAGTCCTCCCCGGCACCGGCGGCGTCCCCCACACCAGACTTTAGTGGTCTAATGGGGAGTCGTGTCTCCGACGCCGGTACCTCCTTCCTGAGGGGCACTAGTACAGTGTCCCCCGAGGAATCCGACTCTTCGGAGTCGGGCTCCCTGCCTCTCTTCCCCCCTTTATTGGGGGGTCGTACTGGGGGGCGGGTATTATCCCCCTGGGCCGCGGCCCTCTGGGGGGGGAGTCTTCCCGCATCCCCCTCCGCCCAACCGGTGTTTTGCCGGGAGGCCCAAGTCTGCACAAAGCGGGCAGTTGGGCACTCCCACGCACCCCTTCGCGGGATGTCCCGCTACACCGCAGCGATAACATCGCTTACTGCGGTCGACATCCCCGGTGCACCGCTGCCCGATGTGTCCTTCTTCCAGGCAGCGGTAACACCTAGGAGGACGGGGCTGTGTAAGCGAGACATTCGCCCACAAATCCCGCCCTCACTCGCCCTTTCGCGGCAAGCGCACGTGCGGTGTCAGACGGACACCGCACGTACGCCACGCCAAGTCGTCGGCCGGGGAAACGGGGGAGCATCTCCACCCTTACCTCCCCGATCTGACAACCCCCTTCCTGCGAAATAGCCTTCGCGATTTCCTCTTTGGAGGCCAGGTCATCCAGACCCGACAGGCGCAACTCCGTGCATTTGCCGGGCCTGGCGATCCTGATCCCCGTGCCCTTGAGGGCCCCTTCTAGCTTCCGCGCGAGGGCATCTGCGCCCTTCGCCCGGTTTGCGCCAGGAATCTCCAGGAAGAGACCCCCGTTCGCAGCACGCCTTGTGGTCATGCCGTCGACCCCCAGACCGCCAAGGAAGACTTTGCTCCTCGCAGTTCGGAGGACGGCGGCATACGACTCAACCGTGCCGTCGGGCACGGTTATAGAGACGGCAGCGGTCTCCCGTTCACGTGCGGGGCGGACAGGCAGTTTGCCTCCCGTCCCACCAGGAGCACGCTCCGCTCTCTTTCCTCTCTCCGGCAGTGTTGCCGAGTGGACGGGGGTCTGGGCACTTTGGCCCCCGCCCCTACCGCACGCCTTCCCTACTCCGTGGGAAGGATTCCTCCTTATCGCTGCCACCTTCGGTGGGTGAGCCTCGGCGAGCTTCGCCTCTATGGCCTGCAATCTGTCCCCAAGGGCCCCCATGTCCCGGCGGATGCTCCTCCTGAGCTCCGCCAGCCACACAGGCGCCCCCGAGGGCATCTCCTCCTGGGCCTCCATGGCAGGAGGATTCTCCTCCACGGAGACGCGCTCCTCCGGCTGTTGTTGTGCCCCTGTTCCCTGGGTGGCGGAGAAAGTTTCCGCCTCGGGGAAGGAGCCTCTCTGCAGTTGGTCCAGCTGCCCCTGGAGCCTCTCCACGCTCTCAGTAAGCAGCTGGATCTCCCTACTTTTCCTCTCCACTTCCTCCTTGGAGGCCTTACGGTCCTCCTCGAAGGTGGTGAGGGACTCCTTCACCAATGCTCGGAGCTCGCGGTTCTCCTCCTCAAGGCTGAGCGCCCTTGCTTCCGTCGCCTGCCACTTCCTCGCCATGGAATACGCCCCTAGAGACGTCTCCCTGACGAAGGTCTCGAGCTCCTCTTTGCTCTCCTCAGGCATGGCCCTCCACCACTCCATCCCGTCCTCTTCCAGGCTATAATTTCTCCAGCTATCGGCGTCGCAGATAATCCAGCCGGCCGCCTCCAGCGGAGAGAGGAGCGCAAACTCCTCTAGGGCCTCCCACCCCTGTGCTACTTCCTTCGTCTGCAGGGCTGTGCCGACTACCACCCTTTCGAATGTGTCCACCCAGTCCTGCCATCCCGCGTCCTCCTCAAGGGGGCTCAGACCGAACGCCGTCCTTCCATCCATGGCCGGCCCTCCCCCCCTGCTTCCCCATCACCCGTCTTCCCCCGAGCGGAGGTTGACGGTTGGGAGTCCCCCCCATTCTTACTAAGCCCCGAAAAATTATTGTCCGCCATCTGGATTAATTTCACTGCCCCGGCTAGGGCATGCCCTCCTCCCCCATCTCTGGGAGAGGCCCCGAGTCCTCCCGGGGAGCCGGGATATGGCACGGGCCGGGGAGAATACCGCACCCCGGCACTGGCCTCCAGCCCCCTACACGCCCCCACGCTCAGTGCGTGGGGGTTTTCAGGGGCCCCGGATCTCCGACGCTCCAGGTACCACCACGGGTGCCGCCACGCGGGAGGCCCCACGGACGGTTGGGGTGTCAGGGGTGGCCCGTCCCCCCTCCGTCTTGCCCGCCGTGGTGACCAGCAGCACACTTCCTCCGCCAGGGCAGACCCCCGCTAGAACGCGGGGGCCATCGCAGGAGTCCCCCCGGCTGGGGACAACGAGGGTCGTGACTCCCTCGAAGGCCCTTTCGTCCGAGGGACTGCCGCCGCAGGCCAGGGGAGAAAGACACCCCCGACCCCAGCGACAGCCCCCCGCCTCCGGCCTCCCGGACCCCGACCTGGGAATACGTCCCAGCGGCTCCGAAGGGCCCCAGCCCGCCGAGCTCCGCCTCGGAAACGTCCGAGCGGCCCCGGCGGTCTGTCACCTCTACGGACGGGCGGAGCCGGCCCCCCATGCCAGGACGCACGTCCTAAAAGGACGTCGCCCCGAGACACAGGGGGTAACGGCCCGCATTGTCCGTTGCCAGACCCACGTAACTGTGGGCCCGGCCCCTCACTGTCCGCCCACCCGGCGACCCGCACCACGTACGGTTCCGCCGCCAGGGTCGGACCCTTCCCCGCCGCCGAGACAGGACCACGTCCAGCCAAGCGACGGGAGAGCCACCCTCCGCAACTCTGCCGGAGCACCGGCGTGCAATGAGTTGCGGAGGGTCTAGCGGAGCGCTCTTGGTCAGCGGACGCCCGACCTAAGGAACCGCCGGAGCCTAAAGCGGCACACGGACGGCTCCCGGTCGAACGCCCGCCTAAGCCCCCCACCACGACAAGGTGGTGCTCCACGGGGGGGACCCAACAATAAACCTAGTAGAACTCAAAGAACAAATTGAAGCTAAAAGTCATAAAGTAATAAGTATTACAAATATTTTGCATGCTAAAACAAAGAGGCCTCTTCCCTTGTTCTTTATAGAATTAGAGCAGAAGGAAAATAATAACGATATCTACAATATAAATCAATTACTGAACACAATAATCAGCTTTGAGCAAGCCTATAAAAAAAGGGAAATCCCGCAATGCACAAGATGTCAGGCGTATGGGCATACTAAACTACTGTTTCAAAGGACCACGATGCGTAAAGTGCGCAGGAAATAACATGACAAATGATTGTTCAAAAAAAGGAAAACTCGCAGAAGTAAAATGTTATAACTGTGAAGGAAACCACCCAGCTAGTTACAAAGGATGTGAAGTATACAAGCAATTACAACAAAAGCTGTATCCCAAGTTAAGACCAAAGAAACAAATAGAACAACCCGAAAATTTAAATTTGAACTCAAATTTAAACTTAAATTTAGATCCAATACAACCAATACAACATCCAAATAAAACTACAGCTAGACAAGTTCAACCAATTACATCGAACAACACATACGCTCAAATAACAAAAAAAAATTCAATCCATCAAACACCAAGAGAGTAACAATGATAACAATAATAACATACAACAATTAACAGCAGTAGCTACAAATCAGCAAGGAACAAACAAAGTTGAAGAACTGATTTTGCAACTTATCTCAAAAATAGATAGTATGCTAAATCTAATTGCAGCCATGATTACAAAAATGAATTAATGGCGAATACAATAAAAATAGGAGTATGGAATGCCAACGGATTAATACAAAGAGGACAGGAGCTTAAAACATTTCTAATAGATCATAATATAGACATAATGCTTATCTCAGAAACTCATTACACAAAAAAGTGTTACTTAAAAATTCCAAGATACAGTATTTATGACACACAACATCCGGATGGCACCGCTCATGTAGGAACAGCAATAATCGTGAAATCACCAATAAAACACTACGTAAATGAGAGATATCAAAAAGATTACCTCCAGGCAACTAGTATTACAGTGGAAGATCTGATCGGGCCAATAACGTTAGCATCGGTATA